TCTGATTGGGGTTCAAGAGTGGAAGACTTCTGGAGACTTAGAGGAGGTTAAGAGGTAAGTGTCTGAGAGTTTAAGTACAGGACATATCACAAACAAATACACCATCGGTTATCAATCACTGTTAAATTGGTATACATTAATCAAGGATAAAATCGAAGATGACAAGATAGATGAATGATATTGTATATTTTCCTCTTGCGAACATGGGTACCTAATCATCAATGATAATAGAAAACAGTAAAATTATATTTTTGGTGGAAAGATAATAGTTGCTCAAATGGTAATTCAATAGTAAATTATTCTATAGTTTAACATTACAAGCTAACCTTAAGAAACCATTGGAAATGAGGAATCACTAGATAGCCATTTCGCCCTAGTATTGCAATCTTCAATGGCATGCATCCAAAAACCCACCAGAGATCAAAACAGGGACTTTTAATTCTCACAAGAAGCATTAAGTAAAACTGTTCCCACAGATGCGTTGTAAATCTGAACTTTTGCACCCAGAGTAACATAATGAAGGGACTACTAGGAGTGAGTGCAGGCATACACTCATGGCATTCTTGCGGAAATAATTTGCACTTGGAAGATGCAAAATACATTGCATGCCTATTAACACTGATTGCCGACTGATTAGGTGAGGATTGCATAGCTTGAATATCACCTCACAGTAGGACAATATCATCAGCACACTCAAGATCGAAAAGCCTTTCTCCACGTAACGGATCTACACTATCACTAACTATTTCTATTAGAGCTGTTTTCAGAATGTCATTGATGGGAATGTTGAGGAGGAACGATGAGATCAAGTAACCCTGACTAACCCCACAGCTCGAATAGAACAATGGAGAGAGGTGGTTCTATACCTCCAGTCTGTCTGAGCTATTTGTATCGAAAATGTTCAAGATGTTTTGTACCAATTTATACGGCTCAATCCAATAGACAGTGGCACGTCATGGTGGTTTTACGCCCTCAATCAATATACCGACTTTACTTAGAGCTCTATAACAGTATTACATCACATACGACCAACACTTCAAAGACGTTTGTGATTCAACACTAGAGACCTGTACATGTCTAGAAACATCGGCAGCTATGTTTCACAGACAAATGAGTTTCTTGCACACATGCCGTTTTCACCACACACCAAATCACATGGGCTGATAGGAGACTATTAGAGTAAGTAAAACGGTTAACGCGCTGAACTGTTTCTTAGTTCCTGTAATCAGATTAGGTATTGACAAAGACAAGTTTTGAAGATACATTTAGTATTTAGGTGGAGAGAAATGCATCCTAAACATTATCTTATTGTCACTCAAAATGTTTTTCAGTCATTTTCATTCAACATGATATTGTCAGGTGGGCTAAAAAACACAGTCTCTACGTAGGAGAATAAACTTTAAAAAGTTAGATTATAAAAGAGTTGATTCTAGAAATATATCAATGACAAAATGAAGTGTGAATGGAATGTACATAAAAAAGTCACCTAAGGTGACTAAAATGCGAACACACTAATCACAAATAAATTCTCAACTCCAATCTATCTTAACACGTCTCAAATCAACAGTTAGTGATTTAACAGAGGTGGTTTATGGGTATTAGTTTTATGAATCGGTAAACTTGAAGGCATTGGACGGCCGTTTCACCCTAGTATGGGACTTCAAGATGGGTTTCCTGTAGTTCAAGTGAGAAGCCGTGACCAGTTGAGTCTAATTCGTATCGGGTAGAGATAGGTATCTAATTCAGATAATGGATGAATGGTTGCGCAACCATTCATGGGTCGATTGAAGTTAGACATTAACACCGTTGGATGCCGGCTCAGTGGACTAAAAAATAAGCGTTCGCGTGCGAAATCGAATGTCCTGGCTTCGAGTCCCGCATGTGCGATCGTGGATACGCATTGCTGAGGAGTCCAATGCTAAGACCGAACGGCCGTTCAGTACTTTCAAATTTACACTGGTGGCCTAGGTTACATGGACTAATGAATTCAACTATTAAAATCACTACAATCTCCACAAACCTTCATTCTAATAAATAACTAACCAATAAACAAATAAGAAACTAAATTCACTTAGTATTATTTGCTTGAATCTTCCCATTGATGTTTAGGACTTCAACTAGCCAGTCTCTAATTGGCATATGTGCATACTGTGCACATTGCCTCGATATAGCCTTATTTCACAAGTATTATAAACAAAGATGGATAGTGGCTAGCAGTGGAATCCAACTCTGAGATGCAGGTACATCCAGTTGACGAGTTCTAAATAGGACGAAACACGCATCAAACTGGATTCCACTGTTAGCCACTATCCATCTTTGCTTACTAGTTTGAATGTAGAGAATCTTTAAACTAAAGTAAACATTGATTATGAACAGAAAGCCAGTCATCTATAATGATCAAACACGTACAAGTACATAGGTAATTGTATATCTTTGATGTTTTATTAACTTATTTTCAATGATATAACAGTAACATTTTTTTTGTTTTAGTCACTAGGTCATTTGGAAAAATTGGTTAAACATGCCAATTGTCTATATATCTATATATGTGCCTGTGTATGTATATATATGTGTAATAATATGTATTTCTCCACCCCCCCCCTCTTTTTCTTTGTGTGATACAATATCTTCTTGTGTTTTAACTAAAAATTCATACATATGTAGAAACACACACACACACACACTCAGAGAGAAATAAAACAAACCCTAATCTTGATAGTAATTTGTTAAAAAAGAATTTGCATTTGAATTTGTTTACCATAAACATACGAGAGAAAAAAACAAATATGAATATATGTAAATAAGTTTTCCATAGGATAGATACTAAAACATAGATACTAATGGATGAGCATTGATTCTTGAAGTTTAGGGGAATTTCACCCCAATTTTGTGCATAATATGCGTGATAACATCTGTATAACTTTGAGCTTTAATGATTAAAGTACAACCTATATAGAAAGAGTGTATACATGCACTATCCTAACCATTAGACCATCGAGTAAGTAATGCAGTTGTTAGGAAACGGGTACTAGATAAGGATGGCAAATCGATTGATGAAGTAGTGAAACTTCATCAGCTGAGTTGGCTGGGACATGTGTTATGTATGCCCAACCATCGACTGCCCCGACGTACAATGTTTTATGGTGTAAGAGTAGGTTGGAAGAAAGCTAAGGGCAGCCAGAACAAAACATGGCATAAATCCATGAAGTCATTGACAATTGGACTGAGTCATGTCGGTAGGTGCAGACTATATGGTTGGAATTCGCGAGATGATAGCAATCGATGGTTAGAGACCTTGAATGACATGGCTCAAAATCGTTTGCAGTAGCGAAGGTACATCCACTCTTTGTGTCCTGCCAAATTTTCATCTTCTGAATTCTTCATGTCTCTATCTTTTTTCCTCTTTTCAAATTTATTTCACTGGATTATACACCTTCAATAACATCTTCAAACCTTAATCTTTCCGATTACTGCTTATACTCTTATTACTTCTACCACTATGGGATTTGAATCGACAACTTCATCTCTGTGTTAATGTGGTATGGCAACTGGAACTGATGTACGTACGTACGAAGTTCTATGTTGTGACTGACTTACTGATTAACTGTGTACACGCACGCTATTGAATACAAAGCTTAAGCATTAAGAGAATTCTTGTTGATTGGATTTTTCATATTGTGAATCAACCATTATACAATGTCGAATAGCTTAACAAAATGATCACATTTTAAAACTAAGGAGTCAAATAATTCAATCATCCTGATTACCATCATCATAGACGAGTTAGTGATACTGCCCGTGTACTCAAACGGAATGAAGTCGGGCTGGAGTTGTAAATTACAAACTCAAAGTATTCAAAGTCAAACAGCTTATAACTACTGAAGCACCACTTCACACTCATGAACATAAAAAAAGTTTAAAGTAATTCATCGTCAATAACAAGTGTTTATATTTCTCGATTGTTGATATTCAATATAAAATTTGGCTACTCTTTTTTGGCAAGAACATATGGAACTCAAAACAACTGTCAACTAATTTCAAACTCAGAATCTTCAATACGAATGTCAAGACAGTCCTACTGTATGGAGCTGAAACGTGGAGAACTACTACGATCATCATCAGGAAGGTACAAGTATTTATAAACAGTTGTCTGCGCAAAATACTCAACATTCACTGGACGGATACTATCAGCAACAGCGTTTTATGGGAGAGGACAAACCAGCAGGTTCCAATTGAAGAGGAAATTAGGAAAATTAGAACAACATATTAGGAACAGACGTTCGTGGTGGATAGGACATACATTGAGGAAATCACCAAACTGCATCACGAGGCAATCCTTAACTTGGAATGGTGAAGGGAAGCGGAAAAGAGGAAGGCCAAAGAATACATTACGTCGAAAAATAGAAGCAGATATGAAAAGGATGAATGTTAACTGGAAAGGATTGTCCAAGACAGAGTCGGATGGAGAATGCTGGTGGGCGGCCTATGCTCCTCCACGAGGGGTACCAGGCGTAAGTTAGTAAGTAACTCTTTTTCGGCATATGTACTTGTTCAGTCAATGAACAACTCGATGTGGTCTATGGCTATAAACGGATTATATTTTGAATATTAGATAATAATAGAATCTTGAACGAGCGTTCCTTCCTATTTAGGAGACATCGGCTAGATTTAACTGGATCATTTTCTCTACATTAATATTCATACTGAGATTTTCGAATACTGTAATAGAAGTACATTCAACTAAAGAGTCGTAAATAAGCTGAAAAGCCCCAATGTCGATTCCACTGCTATCCATAATAAAAAATACACTTTAGAGAAATGGCACGCATGGAGCAGACTTCCCGCAAGAGTATAGGTGGAAAGACTCCCAGGAAGCAACTAGCCACTAAAGCTACGCGGAAGAGTGCACCAGCTACTGGTGGTGTTAAAAAACTACATCGTTATCGTCCTGGAACAGTGAGATTCGTCGTTATCAAAAATCAAAACAAATTAGGACATACCTTTAAATTTCTCTGGTTTACTTAAACTTTCCAAAATATTTGTACACATTTTTAAAAATGATTCATTTAGACAAATTTCTTTTATTGTCGAATCATCATCATTGAGAGAAGGATTACTGAAAATAATTCTTTTCATTGACATAATAGTATGATCGTTATCTTTAGGTAAAGATGGCGAAGTAGATGTGGTCGTTTGTTGAGGTTTCGGTTCATTCTCATCAATTACAATGTGTTTATTAGATGGGGTAAACATTGGTGGAATATAGTTTACAAATACTTCTTTAAGATAATTAACCAGTTCAGTCGATCCATAATTCAAGAGACTGGAGAAATCTGGTAGAGAAGTTGAAGAAGAGAGTGAATTCGATATTGAAGAGGAGAAACAGGACTGTGGTACTTCGATAGACAATTGGGCAGCTAAAAGACGTGCATAACTGATGACGAATATTTGATGTCTGAAAGCAAAAAAAGTAAAGTGAATAGATAGAACTAAGGAATAAAATGCAATTTCGAAAAGTACTTTCTAACTGAATCAGTGGTGTTGTGTGTGACAGAATACGTACCCGCGGAAGCGACAAAGAAGAATCGAAATCTTGACCGTAAAGTGTTCCAATTCATCTTAACCTTAACCGACTAACTCTACTTAATTTGATCTATTCGGCTATTATTCAACAAGAATTTATTTTGATGAAATATACAGTTGAAATAATAATCATAACTAGTTGGATTGAAGTTTGATTCTGACGTGTTCATATATATGCAATCTAGTCGTTTTAATGTTTATTCCTCTTCACTTATTTTCATCATATTGGCGGATTGATTTACATGCTAATTAGGAATACTTAATTTTAGGAAGAATCCGGAAGGGAAGGGGAAAAGAGGAAGTTCAAAGAACACATTACGTCGGGAAATAGAAGCAGATATGAAAAATATATGAATGTTGACTGGCAAGAACGGGAAAGGAATGCCGAGGACAGGGTTGGATGGAAAATGCTGGTGGGTGGCCTATGCTCCTCGACGAGGGGTAACAGGCGTAAGTAAGTAATTTTAGGAAGGAAAATGTAAATGTTAAAACTGAATTAAGAAGTTGTAATAGTAATTAATAGAACGATTATTCTACTCGTAACGTTGCCAAAGTAGAAGAATTGGTAGTAAAAGTATCCGTCGTAGTAGGATAGATAAGGGCCAGGAAATATGATTGGAGAAGAAGAAATGGATTCGCAAAATCAAAAAGTATAAGTTGAATTTAAAGCTGATGATTTAAAGGGGAAAACAAAGAATGAATGCCTGTGTAACTAAGGCCTATTATAAATCATGCTACTTAGCATTGCTCCAACAGCTGATATGATTGTCGTATGGATTCCAAGTAGGTAGACTGCACTCACCAACTGGCTTAGGCCAACAGTCAATGATTTCATGAACTAATGCAATGTCTCGAATTGTTCGTCGTTAGTTTTGTTCCAAACTACTGTTTAGCCAAATAACGCTAAGATTCGAAAAAAGCGGTTATCGGGCTTACATGATATATATCTCAATTAATTTAGTTGATGGAGATATGCAGTCTTATCAATCGATTTGCCATATTTGCCTACTACCCTGCATCTAACTCCAACATTAATAATTTGACGATTTATTTATTTCAACACATAAACATTGATACAAAGAAACACCAAATACATATGCGTCACCCTTCATCATTCGATATATGTGATGGTTGTAATACTTCTCAGGTGCCCAAACTGAAGCAGGTTGTTTTCATTTCGACCTAGAGATCAAATCCTTAAGGCAGTGGAGCAATGTTAAGAGATGAAGTCACATGGTAACCGGTCACCTACAATACGTTCATACACCATTTGTTCCCTCAGGATCTTGGAGCCGATGTGTAACATTGGTTTGGAATCAGGGTTTTACAACTGACATAGGTGGATCCTCCGGTTAAAGCATCGGATATTTGCGTTTCGTCCTTTCAATTTTGTGAACATCCCCAACAGTGTTATACGCGTCGCCATGCGAGAGCATTTCGAGAAGGAGAGCAGACTCTCTCCACCCTCGACTGTACCAGGGCATTTGGGGTAATGATGATTTAGTGATATGCAAGAAATGCCTAGAAACTCCGCCTGTTGCTCCTCCGAGGGTTACTGCCGGTCCCAAACCCGGGTAAAGGAGGAGGGTTGGGCATGGGGTTAGCGACCCTATCCCGTAGAAAACCAACTCGCTAAAAACGCTAACCAGAAAAAATTATTCAAACCATTCAAACTGTGCCCTGGGAGTAGAAGGAATAATTATGACGTCTCATGATGAAAGCCGAGTTCCTTCGGAAGTCATGAGACCGATGCACCTTCTTACAACCAGAGCGACAATTTTTATAGGTACATGGAATGTCCGAACAATGTGGGAGACCGGAAGAGTCTTCCAAATTGCTGCAGAAATGAGAAAATACAACCTGGAGGTTCTTGGAATCAGCGAAACACATTGGACGCAGGTTGGACAACAACGACTGTCTTCAGGAGAACTTCTGTTATACTCCGGTCATGAAGAAGAAAATGCCCCACATACACAAGGAGTTGCATTGATGCTGTCCAGAAAAGCACAAAATGCACTTATAGGATGGGAATCTCATGAACCAAGGATCATCAAAGCCTCCCTCAAAACAAAGAGAGAGGGCATTGCAATGAACGTAATCCAATGCTATGCGCCGACCAACGACTACGATGAAGACGCTAAAGACCAATTCTACGATAGGCTGCAGTCGATCTTCGAGAAGTGCCCAACCAAAGACCTGACCATTCTGATGGGAGATCTCATAGCCCTCAGAAACAGGTTCCAGGCCTTTCATGATCTACTCAATGGAGAGGGGACTACCATGGAGAACAACTGGAAAGGTATCAAGGAGGCAATCGTTTCAACATGTCAAGAGGTTCTGGGCCAAAAGAAGCACCATCACAAGGAATGGATCACTGTTGGTACACTGGATAAGATTGAAGCAAGGAGGAACAAGAAGGCAGCAATCAATATCAGCCCAACCAGAGCGGAAAAAGCCAAGACACAAGCCGAATACACAGAGGCAAACAAGCAAGTGAAGAGGAGCATCAGTACCGACAAACGTAAATATGTGGAAGATTTAGCAACGACAGCGGAAAAGACTGCAAGAGAGGGAAACATGAGACAACTGTATGATACAACAAAGAAACTTGCTAGAAATTACCGTAAACCAGAAAGACCAGTGAAAAACAAGGGAGGCAAAGTAATCGCCGACATTGAAGAACAACGAAACAGGTGGGTAGAACACTTCAAAGAACTCTTGAATCGACCAGCTCCACTGATGAACCCACCCAACATCGAAGCAGCACCCATGGACCTCCCAATAGATGTTGGCCCACCAACAATTGAAGAGATCAGCATGGCCATTAGACAAATCAAGAGCGGCAAAGCAGTGGGACCAGACAACATCCCGGCAGAGGCACTGAAAGCAAATGTAACATCAAATGCCAAGATACTCCACATCCTCTTCAGTAAGATTTGGGACGAAGAACAAGTACCAACAGACTGGAAAAAAGGACTTCTGATCAAAATACCAAAGAAAGGTGATCTTAGCAAGTGCGACAACTACAGGGGCATCACTCTCCTCTCAATACCAGGGAAAGTATTCAACAGGGTATTGTTAAACAGGATGAAGGATTCCGTGGACGCCCAACTTCGAGATCAACAAGCTGGATTTCGTAAGGATAGATCGTGCACAGATCAAATCGCAACTCTACGTATCATTGTGGAACAATTAATCGAATGGAATTCATCACTCTACATCAACTTCATCGACTACGAGAAGGCATTTGATAGCGTGGACAGGACGACACTATGGAGGCTTCTTCGACACTACTTACAACTGAAAAACATGTGGAGCTCAAAACAATTGTCAACCAACACCAAGGTAAGAATTTTCAATACAAATGTGAAGACAGTTCTACTGTATGGGGCGGAGACGTGGAGAACTACGAAAGCCATTATCCAGAAGATACAAGTGTTTATTAACAGTTGTCTACGCAAGATACTTCGGATCCGATGGCCAGACACTATCAGCAACAAGTTACTGTGGGAGACAACAAATCAGATTCCAGCTGAGGAAGAAATCAGGAGGAAGCGCTGGAAGTGGATTGAGCACACTTTGAGGAAATCACCCAACTGCATCACAAGACAAGCCCTCACATGGAATCCTCAAACATCAAAGGAGAAGAGGAAGACCAAACAACACATTACGCCGAGAAATAGAGACAGACATGAGAAGAATGAACAAGAACTGGATAGAACTAGAAAAGAAGGCCCAGGACAGAGTGTGTTGGAGAATGGTGGTCGGCGGCCTATGCTCCATTGGGAGTAACAGGCGTAAGTAAGTAAGTAAGTAAGAAATGCCTAGAACATCTTTATAACCAAATACTAGTAAATTATCTCTATCTTTACTGATCACGTTTCATACCAACAAAACATAAACTATGATGTTCAATATGAAAGAAAAAACAGTTGTCGATAGGATGTTCTAATTAGAAAGTAGTTTATTCATTGTTAGTACATACAAATATTTCAAGAATTTACAACTATATAATATGAACTATGGGAATATAAGAAATGTGGTAAGAATTTCACTGAAAGAAAAACTGGTTAAGCGAAAATCTATGGCTATTCAGTAGGTAGGTTGATAGATAAAGATATAGAGATCGATTCTAAATGAAACTAAGGGATTTCACTATTATTATCCTTATTAATACATCAATCATAATATTATCGAAAATCGATCGACTCAACTATATGATAATAAACAAAGATGGATAGTGACTAGCGGTGGAATCCAGTTTGACGCGCGTTTCGTCCTATTTGGGACTCGTCAGCTAGATGAACCTGCATCTCAGAGTTGATGTTTACTCTGGGACTCGAAACCCAGTACCTTTCGCTTGTAAATTAAGGCTATATCGAGGCAATATGCACAGTATGCACATGTCAATTAGAGACTGACCAGTTGCAGTCCTAACACATCGATAGGAAGATTCAAACAAACAATACTAAATGAATTTATATGATAATAATTAGTAATGATTCTCCTCAAATATACATACATACATATATATGTATATGGATGCATGCACAGACTAATCATGGAACTAGATGACTGATGGACATACTAATGACATATCTTTTAGTTAGTAACTATGTCTACATTCATGTAACCACACAATTACGTAATACTTATTGTATATTGAAATAGTATGAAGATTATTCTAAAAGAAATCAATGACATCAGAGCATGAAAAAAAGGTAGATGAATATGTTTGATGTTATGTGAATGTAAATAAAATAGCAGAAGATTCGAGATTAAAGTTTTATATCAGTTAGTAAACGTTGATATGGCATGTTTTTATGTTCTAGATATCTTAAGGAAACTTTAAATTCACTTAGTATTATTTGC